GTTTTGAAAAAGCTCCCAAATTAGGTGATACATTAAAGTCTCTTGGCTGTGCTTTGGGGCAGCCTTAAAATAGTCAACCTAATAAGGATGACTTTGTACTAGTTTCTCTGTGCATGCTCATACATCATAATTGGCAGGAGCTCTCCTGCAAGAAAAGTGCATTTCTAATGCTGCAGGTCTCTGTGCTTGAAACTCAGCATCTCTTCACCTGTCAGGCTCTGGCTCTCAGCCTTTGGCAGCAATCCCCTAGTTTGCCCAGAGCAAATAACTTGACCTTCTCTTTCCATCCAGCTTCACCACCCAGAAAGCTATTGGTCAGTGCTTATCATATTCTGGTGATTCAAGTGCAGGAGAACGGCGTTGATACAAAAGGGAGGAACGTGGCATCAGGCCAGCAGCGTAAGGGACCGTATAATTATGTGGGCTCCTAACATCTGCTGGATCTCGAGCTATCAGCACTTGCTTCTCTTCCGTGCTACTCACGGTGTGCTAGTAGCCCAGGCTCACTGCTCTCGCTCCTGTGCTCACCGCTGGGAACATTCCTACCACTGCTTCTTTCAAGAAGAAGTGGGGAGGATGGGGAGGAGGTGTGCTGAGCGGTGGCCCCCGTTCTGCTCCCTTGAAAAGGCTGCACTCAGCTAAGCCAGCTTGTGATCTTTGGCCTGCCAGATAAGTTGCACCTTAAGTGAGATCAGCAGTCTTAAATAAGAGTCCCCTGCTCGTGCCACGAATGCGCTGACTGCAGTAGACCGAAAATGGTGACCCACGTCAGAACTGCTGACAGTTTCTTCTTCATCCAAGTAACTTCGCAAAAGAGAGAGAGAGAGAGTGTGTGTGTGTGGAGGTGGGGGGGGCAGGGACAGGGCGAGGAGCGCTCCCTCAAGGGGGTACCGGAGTCACAGCCTCCCACTGTGTTTCGCACCCCTGAGAGCACACAATGGGGGAGGCTCGTGTCCGCTCCTGGCGCAGGTTCAGCCGTTGTCACCCTTCTTCCTGGGGGCAGAAACATCCCCTCTGACACAAAGCCCCACAAAGGTTTTCCTCTTGTCCCTTCCCCGAGCCTCACCTCGGCATTGCAGAGGCAAGGCAGGCTCACTGCCCCAGATTATCTGCAGTCAGACTGTGTCCGATCGAGGGGAGGCAAGAAATAGAGTTTGAACTACATAGTCAGAAGGTAGACTGCAGGCAAACATGGAGCTACGGTGTTTACAGTGCACGCTGTCGAGCAGACTGGGTCTGTGCACGCTTGCAATGGCGTGCAAACACAAGCTGGCTTCCCGCATGTCTTTATTTAGAAAGGTGAAGTGTGGAGGGGGGGGGGGCAGGGACAGGGCGAGGAGCGCTCCCTCAAGGGGGTACCGGAGTCACAGCCTCCCACTGTGTTTCGCACCCCTGAGAGCACACAATGGGGGAGGCTCGTGTCCGCTCCTGGCGCAGGTTCAGCCGTTGTCACCCTTCTTCCTGGGGGCAGAAACATCCCCTCTGACACAAAGCCCCACAAAGGTTTTCCTCTTGTCCCTTCCCCGAGCCTCACCTCGGCATTGCAGAGGCAAGGCAGGCTCACTGCCCCAGATTATCTGCAGTCAGACTGTGTCCGATCGAGGGGAGGCAAGAAATAGAGTTTGAACTACATAGTCAGAAGGTAGACTGCAGGCAAACATGGAGCTACGGTGTTTACAGTGCACGCTGTCGAGCAGACTGGGTCTGTGCACGCTTGCAATGGCGTGCAAACACAAGCTGGCTTCCCGCATGTCTTTATTTAGAAAGGTGAAGTATAATTTACACCCATGGTTCTTAATTGAAATCAAATTGAGTACTCTGTTCTTCAAATTCTAGAGATGAAATTACATAAATTCAGGTTAATGTATTGTTTAGCCAGCTATGAGCCTTAAAGTCCAAACTCAGTGAAACTAAAGAATTTATCTTCAAAGGACCCTCAGGGAAAACTGAATTAACCACTTTCAAATGAATAAAGCTGTATTAAATTCAAGTGTGGATGCTTTTTTCAGAAAGAAAAAAAGTATATGTTCAAATTAATTTTAATTCATTTCTAATCAAATTAGGTTAGAATGAGTAATGGATAATTTAATTGAAATTGATTGTTTAAATTATTAGCTTACCAGTTTTAAATATGTATAGTGAAATTTAGAATCCCTATGTAGACAAGTCTGTAGTTCTCAGCATAAATTGCCATTGGCAAAAAGGTAGCTTAATAATGGAAAATACTAAAAGTAACAGTGAAGGATATAGAAACAAAATATTGTGTCCCAATATAAGCAATATAATCGATAAGTCTGATTGATAAAGACATTTGATTTGTCTAACACCAGGTGAGAGCAACTCTGGAAAAAGTAAGAAAGAAAATGTATGGGGAATATGATGAAATGAAACGAAAAATACAACAGCTTACCAATGAACTGAAAGTAAGTATACATTTATTTATAGTGAAGGCATAAGAGCGTAACTGTTCCAGTGTTATTTTGATACCTTTTTTTCTTCAGCAGGACAGAAATGAATTCTCAGGCAATTCTGGTTCATAGTTTTACATGTCGTCTGTTTCGGCCTTTATTTATTTATTTATTTTCCTTCCACGAAGGGGAAAAATAGGACATTGATGCTTTTGCATATGGAATTACTAATTGCCCCCTTCTTGGAAATAAAGGAATAATCTTGATGTCATCTTGAATAATCTTACTGTTAAATTGACATTTTTATGCTGTGACAACTTTAATCTTCAAAAAATTCATCCTAATTTGAGAGGAGGAGAGAAAGCCTAATTTCTGTGAACTGAGTTAAATAGTCTTAATGGGGCTCAGAAGTTGTGTCCCCCAGCTAGTAAGTATTATAGGCAAATAGCGACTCAGATGCAGTTTTATCTTCTTTACTCCTGATTGTTACTGAATAGCACTGGTGAAATTCTGCGCTCCTGGATCTCCCGTTCAATCAGTAGAAATCCTGCCTGCTCTGAAAATCTCCCTTAATGAAGGTTTCTGACCAGCTCTAACAGAATCTGTAGTCTGGAAGCAAACTAACAGTTCAGGATGGATTCCTTCTGACATAAATGGCACGTTGAGCCCTCTGCTTTTTGATGCTTTAGAGTATCTGAAAGAAAGCACAGATGTTCTTCAGCCTAACTATACATTTTGGGTGGTTCCCCACCACCGCCATACTCTTCCCTTCAGCTTTGGATCGCTACGCTTTTTTCCAATTGACTTTCAGGGCTACTTTTTGTTCATGAAGTTTGTTTGCAATTTGTATTCCAAATATCCTGCCCTGGGCAGTATGCTTCTTCCTGCAAGTTCTTATCTTTTATCTTTCTTAATCCATCCAAAACATTTTTACTTAGCTTTTTTTTTTTTTATAGCTAGCATTCATATATTTTTGTGAAGAAACAAATCTGGTCGATTCAAGTATGTATGTTGGACTGGCCTTCATTAGTAGCATTTTTCTCTATATGTTATTGAATGGTTCATAATCACTTATGCTGTTTGGGTTTCTGTCTCTTCATAAATGATATCACTTTGTGGTTTTTTTTTTTCCATTTTTTAAGCATGTGGGTACGTGCGTACGTAACAGATGACAAATCTTCACACAACAAAGCTCTGTGCTGATTTCTTCCACCTGCTTCATGTCATTTCATCCTTCAGTTTTCCTGATGTTTGCTCCTTTACGCACCTGATTAGTCATTTCTTTCGTAACTGAGGCCATGCTGCAGTTCACCCAAACCTTTCTAGGTTGCCTCGTTTCTTGCATTCACCCGGCTTCCACCCTGTGACTTTTCACAGCTGGCCTGTGTAGCAGCTTTCTGAACTGGTATCTGTCAAGTCTTCTCTTGCTCCTTCCAAAAGGGCATCTGTTACAGGGATTACAGGCTAGCGATAAACAGATACTGGCACCATGTTCCTGTTCGCATGTACGGATTACAAGTTATGTTTGCTTAGTTTTTTGAGGTACAGGGATATGGTTTGGGGCCTATATATTTTAAGCATCCTTATATTGTGAAAATTAACCATGGGCTGTTTCTCTGTTGTAACTCCTTTTGAAAGAATAGGTAAACTTGAACATTATTTACTTTTTTTTTTTTTTCTTCTGCTCAGGTGACAAATGCTCACCAGGAATCCTTAGAGAATCATGTGCGAGTTCAGGCTGCAGCCTTAGATAGTTTCAGTGAAATGAACAGCTCCTTGACATCAGCATCAATAGACTTGCAGGTACATTTTTAATAGCTGTTTCACAACTGACGGTTGCCTTTTCTGACAGGGATTTGAGAGTATGCCTAAAACAGAGATAACAAATAGAGATTCTTAGAGATTCTAACACGAAACAGACTCATAAAACACTGCCTTGGATATTTGAGGCAGCCAATACGAAAATAAGAAAAAAAAAAACTGTTTTTTTTAAAAAGCCTATAAAAATAATATACAGTAAAGTGATACTAAACTGTAGGCAGACTAATGCCACTAGCCTTGTCCTTATGAAATATCTAAGGTGAAAATGTGATTTATTCTATAATGTGGAAACCAGCACATCTTCTGACCTGTTAATAGAAGTGGAAGTGGCATGTTTGGATGCTAAACGCTTGTGAGGCTTTACATAGCTGTGAAATGTATGGGGGAGGGAGAAGGGGGGAATGCGCTTTCTGTTTGAAAGACTTTCCGGTTCCCACATATCTGAGGTGAACAACTTAATGCTTCTATCCTCTTGTATGTCACAGTTTTTCTCAGTCTAGCGTGTTTAATATGTTTAGCGTGGCTCTTGGAGAGAATAAAGGAAGACTGTTGGGAGTAACGTTTATACTGAAATTAGTCTGTATTCCTTGCATTGTTTATAGTGTTCCAGGGCTTCACTTCAGTGAGCGTATTCCTCATGGAAATACTTTTTAGCAGACCAAATACAACAAAAGCCAAAATTTAAAATGTTAAAGCTTGCAAAGCTGTTCCCACTGCACTGAAAAATCAGGAAACTTTTAGATGTTCTGTCTGTGCCATAATCTTTTGATTATGTTATTTCACCAGTTATTTGTGATTGTAATATGTGGTTTGCCTCTTTCTTCAAGAAAACGCTAGTGGATGTTACTTTGGAGAACACTGATATAAGGGAACAAATAAGGAATTTAAAACACACACATGAGCAATCTATGGAAAAACTAAGAGAGAAACAGAAGCAACTGGAAACAGCACAAATTGAAAATCAGTTACTGAAATTAAAGGTACAGTATATGTAGTCCCCTAGCAATACTGCACAATAAGGACATTATGAGTATATTCCTTGGCCTTATTTGTAAAGGATTCTTCATCCATCATGCCTCGGACTTTACCTAGAGCCAACATACTTTTGTGAATTGGTACTGTATTAATAGTAAACAGATGGCAACAATTAGTTTTTCCATAACATGGGATTACTAACCAGGGCAGGTGGAAATCCAAACGATTAAATGGTTTTTAGGGTCCATTATTGTAAGTAAAGGAATTTTGTAACTCTAAGCAGTGCTTTAAAAAAGTCTTGATGTTGAGTTTGTTTATTTGATACTGTCCAATTTTAGTAGGTAATCTGTTCAGTTTTATGAGCATACAGTCAGCAGAGATGTACTGTAAGAGCAAGTGTCTTGGAGAGAGAATTAAACTATTTCTTCCAGAGAAATGCAAAGGAGTAAAACACAAACTGGAAGGTCTTGTATGCCAGAAAGTTTTAACCATTTTTCTCCCCTTTCCTGACAAATATGATCTTTTAGTGTCATTAAAAAAAAAAAAGGAACGAAAAATAAAAACCCCTCTTCTGGAAATCCTTATCTCTCTTGAAATTGCTCAAAATAGAATAATTTGCCTATAGTAGTTTATCAGAATTTGTCACTGTGATTGCTGGTTTACTCATGTCTAATTTTGTTGGAACAGATGTTTCATTTCAGCTCTCTAGTGACGTATAGTCATGCTTAATGATGAATGGCTAAAAGAGAAAACACTAACAGAAGTGTGTTCTAGCTTAGAGTACATACTCTAATTTCCTTTCACAGTGAAGCCTTAAGGGT